AAAAAAAAAAAAAAAAAAAAAAAAAAAAAAAAAAAAAAAAAAAAAAAAAATGATGCAGGAGGTGTCGTGCGAGCGGGTGATCCCGAAGATCGTGTACACGCGGGCGAGCCTCTGCGACGAGGAGTTGGAGCTGGACTGGGAGAGCAGCAGCCGAAAGTCGCAGAGCAGCCTGGCGCGGCAGAAGAGGATAGCCCGTAGCCGAGTGCGGAGGAATTCGAGGCGATCGGCGAGCAGCTGCCTCAGCGCCTCGGACTACCGGAGGTCGTCCTCCTCCTCGAGGAGTCCGTCCCCGGTTAGGAGGCAAAAGGGGGGAGACGAGGGCTACAGGCAGTACCTTTTGGACGTACCTGCGCCCGTCCTTGGCAATGGCAATGGTCTCGAGTGGGGCGAGAACTGCAGTGGCGACGATCTCAGCTCCGAGTGGGACTCGGACCAGAGTGCCAAAGATTGCGGGCCTGGTGCCGATGGCGAGGGAATTCGAGACCGGCCCGTCTTACCTAAGGTGCACTGTTTTTTGTTGTTTTTTTGTTTTGTTGGCGGTCTATTTGGGACCTGGTTTGTTTCTTCCATGTTTGTAGTGTAGAGAAAAATCTCTTTTTGTTCGAGTAGGGGACAATTGATCCCACAATGAGTGTTGGTTTGGCTGTTTGTATAGTGCACGCTGTAAATGTGCGTTTTTTTTACACCCTTTTAGGCTCAAATTTTGTGGGTGACTTTGTTTTCATTTCGCGGGTTGATTATGTGAAATTGGGCAAGTTTCATTGATGAAAACAACTTTGTTCATCTTAAAGAGGACAACATATCTCGAACGATTACAACGTTTGATCTGTATAATGGGACCAAAAAGTGATTTTTTTGCGCCATTAGTAGACAAAAAATGTTTCAAAAATGCCGATTTCAACATAATTAACTTTTTTTTTACGTGTTCGTGATTTTAAAATTAAAGAAAACGTGAGGTCATACACCAAAAGTCTTAGTTTAGTGCCATTATTTATTTTTATGTATTTATTAACACCAGGATGCACGTTGTGTTTACACTTTTTTTTCAGGCGAAAATTGTAGCAGCGACACCTTGCATGCAAGAATTGAGATACTGTTTTTTTTTTTTTTCACGAAATTTTCAGTCACGTGTAAGAAGATGCGACTGTATTACAACGAGAGTCGTACAACATCTAGTGAAATTATACGTTATCGGAAACATTTAGGTCCATAGTTTAGATATTTTATTATTCGTGCACGCAATTTCACAACGAAAAATGAATAACTATTAATATCCGTACACGCTCGGTCCAAAGTACGAAATTACAGTTTTGGTTTTTGCCCAATTTGTTGCAGACGTCCGGCTGGAGAAAACTGAGGAACATCGTTCACTGGACGCCGTTCTTTCAGACGTACAAAAAACACCGATATCCATGGGTAAGTGAATTTTATGATATTACAGGAAGAAGGAGGGAACAAAAAACGCGTCTGTCACCTGTTAACTCCACCAGCCCGAATCCTTATTTTGATCCGATCTTATCGGTAAAAGCACCCGCCCACGCGAAGTATCCTCTGCAAATCTAGAGCCAAGAAAGTTACCAGCACTGTATACTCGCTATGCGTACGTAGAGAGAGAGAGAGAGAGAGAGAGAGAGAGAGAGAGATGTACGTCAGTGGCTCGTAAATTACGTACGCGTAGCGGGTAAAAAAAAAAAAAAAAAAAAAAAGGAAGAGAAAATAATGATGAAGGAACCGGCTTTTGCTCCATGTTTTCTCATGTAGGTGCAGTTAGCGGGTCACCAGGGCAACTTTCGCTCCGGTCCGATGCCCGGCACCATCCTCAAGAAGCTGTGTCCGCAAGAGGAGGCCTGCTTCCGGCTTTTGATGCACGACGTGCTCAGGCCCTACGTCCCCGAGTACAAGGGAGTGCTCGACGTCAGGGAATACGAGGTTTGTGCTTCGTGTTTTCAAGTGATGGGGTGTGCATGCATATATGTGTGCGTGGATATTATCAATGTACGTAGACGAGTCGAATTAGCATTTTTAGTACTTATATGATTCCTGTCGGAAAAAAATTGTCTTTGGGAGATCCAAGTGATACAAATAGATTAAGTTACTTTCAATAGCTCAAAAATTTTTGTGGTGAAAAAACGAGGACAATGAGCCCTGGATAAACAAAATCGGACCAGCAGATAACTCGCGAAATGCAAAAAAACCACCTTTCGTCGCAAACATTGTTGATTCAATAACTCGCGTTCTAATAATGCTAGACAGCTGAAATTTTAATTTGTTGTTGGGGTTGCGATCTTGAAACAACATTTGAATTTTTAGATCAAAATGTTGTTAATTTTTTGCAAACCGTCGACACTTGCAAGAAGTTACCTTTTTTTAAATTATTTCGTCAACATTACTCAAGAACACACATTCACATCAACACACTACTACATGTTTAACTGATAAAACGTATTCAAATCTAACGAATAAGTTTAGTTCGATCGATAAGTGGAATTTACTTTTGCCCAATTAATTAAATCATTTAGATTGTTATTCAATCTTATCTTAAGGTAAAATAATAAGAAAATAAAAAGTGGATTCTCAGTCAACAGTGGTTTTTTAATGTATACTAAATATAATTATTACTGTATTTGTAGACAAATATTTAAGAATGATCTCTGATGTCATTGCTACCAAGTCAAAATTTAATGGTGTTATAGATATAGCTGTTAAATTAAAAAACACAAAAATCCTAAGCGACCAGATTCTATACTGTAATATACAATACAACTCTACAGTGATTCAGGATTTCATCCATCACTAATGTAAAAAATTTTATATTAAAATCGGTCAAAACAATCCTTAGATATTATCTACGTGTGCATTAACACACCTAAACACATCCGAAATATTTTTTTGTACTATAATTTTACTATAATGCTACATTTCTTGGATAAAATTCAACGATTTTTTAGTTTCTACAGTATAAAATACCATTAATTGACAATAAGCAGAAAAGTTAATTTTTTTTTTTTTTTTAACAATTTTTTGAAACCGATAGATTCGAAATAAAAAAGAAACCAATTGATAAAATTGAAAATCAAAGGTGATAGGCATCGAAAAATAAAGCAAATAAGCCAAGGCTTCTGATAATCAGTCGAGGGAATCTTGAGATTAGATTAATTAAGTACATAAGTCCCCATACATCTACACATAATTTTACCCATTTTTTAGAATTATAATCTAAATAACATTTTTATACAAGTTCAATGATCTCTCAGATTCTTTGGCATAAAATATACTGAAACGATCAAAAAAGGTAAAAAAAACTTCATTATTTAGAAAAAATTGTTTTGAAAAATCGGTACAATCGGATTCGAAAAATTGTATTACGAATCAATGTGATTGAAATTTTTTTTTAGCTGTGATAGGTATTTGAAATGTAAAAAAAAACCCAATATTTTTTAAAATTGGTCAATGAAATTCCGAGATGTGAATCTCTTATTGCATACATACACACAAACATACACGTACACACATTTTTTTGAGCGGTAGAATATATAGGTATCTAGAAATAAAAAATAGCCCAATATTTTTTTTAATCGGTCAATGAAATGCTGAGATGTGAATACCTTATCACATACGCACATACATACATACATATGTGAGGAAATCCACAAAAAATATCCCGTTTTTGTCCCCCATTTTAATAAAAAAAAAATTTTTTTGAGGCACACCTTCGAGATAGGGCTCATTTTACTCGTAATGCCATGCCCTATAAGAGAAGAATTTTGAACACGATGTTTAGTGTGGGTGACACCCTTTTCCCGCGATTTACATGTTAAAATTATATCTATAGCTATCACATATATAGATATAATTTTAACATGTATATCACAAAAAAGGGTATCACCCTCACTAAACCTCGTATTTAAAATTTGTTCTTGATAGTACATGGCACTACGAGTAAAATTAGCCCTATCTCGAAGGTGTGCCTCAAAAAATTTTTTTTATTAAAATGGGGGACAAAAACGGGATATTTTTCGTGGACTTCCTCATATACACACATACGTATACATACATACATACATACACACTAACACACTTACACATATAGAGTGAGAGAGAGAGAGAGAGAAAGATTAACACCGTAGCCATATTTCTTTGTTTTGATTCTGAACTTTGTGAAACACGTTTATATAATATTATCTTAATACGTGATTTTTTGTCGATAACAAAACTTTCTCTATGAGGATTGAGGAAGCAAAAATCAAAGTAATATTGAAATAGCTGAAAAATCAGGTATTCATTGTAAATCTCTTGGGAATCCAAATGGATCTTTTACGCTAAGAGTATTTTAGAAGATAAAGATGCTTTCGTTTACTAATCAATTAAATGAAATCATGTGTCTCATTTGTTGGATTGTAACCACGTGTTTGATGATTTAAAAATTTTGTAAAAATACGATTAAGGTAAATTACTAAAATTAGTACTTAGAGTTTCGATAGCTTAGTAATTAACGTACTTGCCACTTGCGCAAGAAACTTCGCAGAAATCGTGGGATCGAAGTCCTCCTTTAAGTAGTGAATTTTTTTGAATGATGTTTGGACCTCCAGCGACCTAATTTCGATAAAAACCAATCGATATATTCGATTCACTAACAGTCGTGCTATCGGTTAGGCACGGAATACTCTCGTTTGCAAACCTCTATATCTGAGGAAAATGCAGTGTACCGTAACGTTTTTAAAAATAAAATCGTGAAGAATTTTTTTTGTTTATCACATTGTCAGTACCAACACAACTTTTTGTCGTTTTTTAAGAGTTACAGTCCGTTTAGCCGTCTTAAAGTTGTGAACAATAAACTTTTTTTTCAAAAACTTAAAAAGTGTTAACTGAATACGGTATTTTAAATAAATAAAAAATCAATATTTTTACCAAAGACTCGCTGCAATCATTTTTCATTTGGATGGACTTTACTGACTTGCGATATAAGATGCGGTTTCTCGATACCGATCACGTGTTGACACAAATTCGTGTATGCTTTTACAATTATATTATTACCTATACCATGCAGAAACAGTAAATGTCATTGCACAAATCGGCTAAGTTCAAGAAATACGGTTTTCTTAAGAGTTTATTTAAGATTTTACCATTTTTTTGTGAACATACTATCTTTAGAACAAACTGTTTGAGTCCATGTTCTCGTGTTTTTACCAAATAACTATGAATGAAAAATTTTTATTTAGTTTCAAAAATGTTTATACTATTTTAGCCAAATTGAAAGCTTCAATTTCTACTTCGGATCATAATAATACCTTTTTTATTCGGCTATTATTGATGAAATACTAAGTTTTTCTTTAAAAATCGGACCTACGTCAGAGTTATCGTTAGTCAGCCTCAAACGCCCTTTTCGGTAAGTCGCTTTGCGCTCGTGTTATAATTGTCACGTGTATCGTTTTATGTAAGATTATTGTAACAAAAACGATTCACAATTTCGGTTGACACGTAATTTCTCAGTCTGACTCAAAAATTAGTTCTGCCTTTTTTTATCTTGCATGTAAGCAAGTATTATGACTTGTTAAAGTAGAATTAAATAGAGAGATTGTTTCTTATAATAAACGGCTAAAGTGTTTAAAAGTGTGTTGTGCATTTATTATTGTGTCTTTTTATTACATCCGNAACAAACTGTTTGAGTCCATGTTCTCGTGTTTTTACCAAATAACTATGAATGAAAAATTTTTATTTATTAAAACAAAACAAAAAAATTGATTTAAATTAATGATATGTTGAAGTAGTTTAACGCCTAACAAATTGTATGTTCATGTCATTCGAATAAATTTTTGTCCCGGCCAATAACTCATATGTTAAAAAACTAATAACAAGAAAATCCCTGTTAAATCAATAACTTGTATTAGCACATAACTAAATAAAAATCGCACCAAATTAAAATTAAATGTTAAAAAAAATAAGTAAACTGGAATTTTAAGGAAGTTTTTCGTATCAATCCATCTACAGTGATTGTTTCAAATAAAAATTTTTCCAATGTCCTTGTAAAATCTAGTGAAATCTAGATAGATTTTTTTTTCTTTGGTACAATTGCTGCAGCTTCATTTGTGATTAAAATTTATGACTTGAGTTTCCGTGGATCGAGTTACATGGAATATAAATATATCGTTGTCTTCAATTAGTGACATTATTTTTTTTTTCTTCTCGGGTATGATTAATCATTTTTCAGTCAACATGTTCGAGCAAAAAAAACTGATACCGATTTCTGTACAACACACACAGGACCAAGAAAAGACCAACGCCAATGACATGACCGTGACCAACAGCAGCAACGAAACGACGGAAAACGAGAAAGCGAACGACAAGGGTACGATAGTCGCTTCGTACCTGCAATTACAAGATCTGCTGGGCGAGTTCGATCAGCCCTGTGTCATGGATTGCAAAATTGGCGTCCGAACGTATCTCGAGTCTGAGCTCGCTAAGGCCAAAGAACGACCCAAGGTGAGTAGGTCATAAAATCAAAAGTCACTATGTTTATTTGATCGAATGAAAATAGTAGTTTTCGTACCATGGGCATAAAGTGAAAAAATCCCGCCCGAAGAGCGCAAAGTCGTTGGACTCCTATCCCTTTGTGTCCACTAATCACTTTCGTGAGTACAAAGCACTTTTACTTTGCACCTACGGAAAGAAAGACGAAGTTCGCACTTTGGGCAAAACATAAAAAACCCCGCCCTTCTAGCAAGACTTTTTTTTTACTTTGTGTCCATGTACAAAAACTACTATGTCTGAACTCAGTTTTTTTTTTTTTTTTTTTTTTTTCAACAAGAGATTCTGGACCCTGCGTGCTTTGCGCGCCATGTCTTAACTATGGAAAAAAAATGAAAATTTACTTAATTATACCAAGATTACACATTCATTCTCATTTCACAAAACCTCTGTATTAAATTTACCGGCTTTGTATACCATAGTATGGTCATATCCTATCTTAAAAGAATAACTATTATGACTGAAGCCTTTTTATTTAATATAATGTTAGTTAAAACTGATTACATGTTGTATTTATATGATTTTTCAAAAAAAAGTGCATAAAATCATTGCAATAGAATGAATTATTTGTCATGTACGAGTATAGTTAAAATTCCACAATTCTCCTTATGTGAGGAAATGTTCCTTCATTCTTTAATTTTCAGCACCAAAAACGTGAATAATTTACTTTTTAAAGCACACCTCTTACATATTTATGGGTGAAATAAATTACCCACCGATATTAAGATCGCTCTCTCTAAAAATGCAGGTCAAATTTTCCTCACATCCCGTTTTCTACCATTTTTTGCAAAGTAAAGTTAATTATTAAAATTTTTCAGTGTTTTCCGGATTTTTTTTACATTTCTCGAATATCTAATTTTGTTTTCCAATTGTAACGTGCATTAATTTAATTTTCGACTGAATTTGAAGTTGCTAACTCAGGATTCAACATTGTTTTTGGAAATTAAATTTGTAAAAATAATTCGTTTCAACAAGTTATGATAGAAAATTATGAGAATTATTACCGGACTCCATTAAAAAAAAAAAAAAAAAAAAAAAAAAATATGTTAATAAATGAAAGTTTAGAATTTTAACATTGAAAAAAATCTTTTATTTTTACCTATAAGAGTATGAATCACGTGTGAAGTAATTTTTAGCTAAAGTCGTTGAGACCAGTAAAATCAGATGAAAAGTAGCTAATTTTTTACTTGAATTCCACACATTTTTGACAATAGAAACAATATAAGAAACATATAAGAATTTAAGACCAATTTGATTGAATTCGATTCATTTTTCGAAATTTAAAAAAAATCACATTTTGCAAAAATGCATATTTACATTTTGTTCCATTAAGTATGCGGGTTATTCTTAAATTGAAATTAAGTTATGTATGGTTTTATTGCATATTAAGTTTAATTCAGATATTTACTTCATTGTTTCTTTCAAGACGAGATACAATTTAATGGTTACACTTCAAACCATTTCCATATTGTACACTCATTTCATGTTAATTACTTCCATAATTCAAAGCAACTAATTTTTACGAAAGCACGCCAAACAACGTCATAATTATGTTATAGTCAATCACGTAACGAATAAAAAGGTTTCAGTAACTTGATGATCAATCTTTTTGGGTGCAAGATTTTATTTCAAATACAAAATTTCTTACATTTGTATTTAAATTCCAAAAATGTCAAGTAAAATGATTGAAAATAAGTATTATGCATACTTTATTGAAAAAATATCACTTTAAAGACAATTGTATTTGATCAAAATATTGGGAAATATTTCCTAAAATTAATTGTTATTTGACTAAATTATGTTAAATATTTTGATCAAATACAGTTGTACTTTACATTGCATCTAAAATAATATAATTGACAATAGAAGCTGAGATCGACGTTGGCTCAGTTATTATCGTTCTAACCTTGGAAACGACATAAATTTAGGAGTCGTGAGTTCGATTCCTCCTCGGGGCATTTGAAATTTTTCCGAGGATTCTAGCCGGTAATATGATTCGCGAATCCATCTCGTAGTTGGGATACTGTTGTTAATTTGAAAGAGAAGCTCCACAGTTTGTAATAATATAAAAAAGACTTTCTCTTACTGCTTCCAATATAATAAACTAAAGCGAGAGAACCTCCTCTCATTATCGAAAACGATAAGCGATATGCAGTATAAAAAAATGAAAAATTTTAATACTCAAGTAACATTAAACACATACGAGTTCTAAAATTAAAAGTCGTAACCGACAAAATCAGGACAACATGTACTTAATTACAATAAAGCATAAATATACATTGTTACTCTATGCATCTAAGTTTAAACATTAATTCGAAAGAATATTACTACAAAGTCGGTTCGATTAACTTAGAGCATTTCAAATACCCATTGCTGTACCCTCAATGCGGGTAACGATCAGGAATCTTTGTAGAGGCATTAACCCCTTCAGCAGAAATTTCATGAGCAACCTCTTCTGACATAAGCTTTTCTGTTTCATACCATTCGCGCTCGCACTCATGACATTTCTTAATAACTGTTATTTCTTGTTTTTTACTGTATCTTACTTGATTACACATGAAGTTCCAGTTACATGGAGTACGCTACGCGCAAATAAAGCCATGGGAAGATAATGAAAGTGAGAGAGAAGTCTCTTCCGCGTAAACTATATGTCTTTACTCTCATTATAGTATCGAATAGTTTTGTGTCGTGCGTTTCGCGCCCCGTTTAATGCCACTTTCGAGTTTCCAGTTCTAAGATGCTGGTAAATTATATTTGTGTTTTACTTTCGTATTTCAAACTTTGATCAATTACAAATGCATTTTGTCAAGTGTTAATTGAAAGGGTATATTTAAAATATTATTGCACTTAAGGTTTTTGGTATTTATAATATTTAATTTAAAGTATTGCACTTCATAAGGTATTCAGATTTGAAAATCTTATTTCATGTATTTAAAATTGGAAATAATATAGATACCTCTTAAAAAAATTTCTAATGCTAGAGACTATTTGTTAAAATTTTATGAAATAGTTATTTTAATCTGATTATAATTATATCTAAGTAAAAATACAATTATTTTTTTTACTTTAAATTGAAAATCTTAATCTTTATTTTTTAAATAATAAACACGACTTTTGCCCAATGTCTGTAATAACAATGTAGAATAAATTAAAGAATTTTTTACTGTTACTAAATTTAAAATAAAAGGAGTAGTACAAACGAGTATTACATCAATTTACATACTTGAAATCACACAAGTGATCTAATCCAAACATGACACTAACTCTGACATTATTACAATTTTTTGCACAACACTATGATACCCTAGAAACAAGTGTAGCTTTTAATTTGTAAATGTTAGACAGAAATGACTATTTTTTGGATTCACAAATCACAATCAACTGATTATTTATAAAATATACCTGTTACTCAGCTGGAATACACGACATTATAATCATTAGCAGGTCAATTTTATTTGCATCACTTGCGTGAATAATGAAAATTTTCGCCTACATTAACTGTTTAACTATTAACTTGATGATTATTTATGAACTGATGACTATTAATATTACTAGAATAATGGATTCGGCAAATTACTTGACCATAAAAAATCAATTCTCTACAATTCGTAAGCTGATAGCTATATAAAGAAATTCATTAGAAAAATCGTGTTTTTGTTCCTTATTTTGTTATTTTTCAGGCACATTTTTGAAACTGGGCTCATTTGACTCGTAATGTCAAGTACTACGAGGAAAAAACTTTTAACACGGGTTTCAGTGAGGGTGACACTCTTTATCCACTATTTACATGCCATTATATATATGTACATACATTACGTTTAAACATATGTAATTTTAACACGTGGAAATTGTGGAAAAAGGGTGTCACCCTCACTGAAACCTGTGTTCAAAATTTTTCTCTCGTATTACATGACTCCCCGAAAAAAATGACCCCTACATCTTAAAGGTACGCTTAAGAAAAAATTTCATTAATAAATTGGGGACAATAACGGATATTTTTTGTGGATTTGCTCATTCATATAACTTGAAATACGGCGCTGCAAGTCGAAAGCGAATGCGCATGCCAAGTTGGGATGAAATAAAAATACTTGTCTGAGACCGATCACATAAATATACGTATGGATTGCACGTAGTGTTACAAATCTCTCTTTGTAAGTTTCCCGGCTCCAAACTAACAATGCAATCAGTTTGAAAACATGTCATCACGCAATGAATAAAATTAGCTTTACAATCACATGACAAATTTTCCTTTGTTGTTGAAAACATGGGAAATTCTGAGTTGTACCGGTCTTTATACGAGGCGTTTAATCGTGCAAATGTGTGTGTATGTAGAAAACAAATTTTTGATAAATTATTTTTCTTATTTTTCATGCGAAAACGTTCGAAAATCATTATTATCTGGGAATTATGGCGTGAGCAAATTTTTGTGGGGTATGACTGGCTCTGCGCACCCTATGGTCGCAGCTTGGCTAGCTCAGTCGGTAGAGCATGAGACTCTTAATCTCAGGGTCGTGGGTTCGAGCCCCACGTCGAGCGAGATTTTTGCATTTTTTTCACAAGTTTTTTCTTTAACGCTTTAGAGATGACGTAAAAATATAGTTATAAAATAAATTTTTTTTTTTAATACGACTTACGTGCCAACTCCTTCATGTTTCATAACACGACAATAAATCTTTTAAAATTGAAAATACATTTTTCCTGAATTTCCGAGTTTAACGTGACCCATCAGATGGAAGATGTTATTTACTTTGATTCCAAAAGTGTTCTGACATTACCCACGTAAAATCGTAACACTCTTTTCTGTAAGCAGCAAATACGATTTTTCACCTGGTAGGAAAAGTGGCCGTGCCATTCTTGAAAACAGCAAAAAATAAAATTATAAAATGCAAAGTGCTTTACAGAGGAAAATGGACGTAAATAATTTCTTACTCCATCAATAAAAAATAAAACAAAATTACACACTGCTCGCCTGCTCGACGAATTTTCCGCGAGACCGTCGTGTTTTTGTGGACGAGTATTGACGTATAGCGCGCCAACCATACATAAGTATGCGCGCAATTCTTGTTGCTTAACTCAGCAAAAACGTAAGAAAATAGCGCATCAACAGTCCGTCGTTTCAAATCGTTGTTTTACCGTGATGCACAAAATACATTCAGCGCGACCAGTTGACATTGGCTCTTTGCACAGTTGGCGATGCTTTATGGATTAATAATGCAATATTCGAATTTTCAATCTGCACCCATCATTTTTGCCAAAAACCCTAAATACGTTCCTTTAAATTCTTCAATGCAAGTGTCAAAAAATAATTAGGGTATCTGTCCCAATTATGGACCCTTTAAGAAAAATTTCGAGCTCAACTTTATTTTGTGTCTAACGGTCAATAAAACTACACCTTGTATCATAACGTATAAGTCGTTTAATTCTTTTTCAACAACATCAAATTTTTTTTTCGTCAAAAAGTTTTATTATTTTTATTTTAATGATGAAACAAGAAAAAAAAATTTTGTCCGTATTACGGACCTCCTCGATGGACTTTAAAGCTATCGTGGACCCCCTATTACGGACCCTGCCCATCATGTGGACCCCCCAATTATGGACCCTGTCCATAATGTAAAAAAATTTTTGTATGTAATTAAATAAACATTAGAGATTTATTCATAAGTACTTCTCACACTTTTAACAGAATATATGACTAGGCACTTTTTGAGATAAGTTTTTAAAAACAAATTTTTATATAAAACTAATTTGCTTTAAAGGCACTGCATATTAGTAGAATAGATTTTATGTTAATCATACGCATATCACGACAATTCTTTTAACTTGTAGTAATAATAATAATAATGATAACGATTATACTTATCTGAATAAATGTCACTAGATGACAGATAGGTTTTATAAAACATTCTTTTCACAATCATTTCATCAAGAACACACAATTTTCTTACACCTTGGATGAAAAAAAAAACAAAAAAAAAAAAAAAAAAAAAAAAAAAAAAAAACATATCAAATCAACATATAACTTCCCCCAAATATATTGAAACAAAAAAACCAAAGTTCGAGAAAGATCGGCCGAACGATTTGTATAAATTATTATGCTCTTGGGGACTACTATTTACGAAGGTTTGGCTAAAAATTCGATACACAGAAAACAGATTAATAAGAAGAAGAATTTTTCCAGCTGCGCAAAGACATGTACGAGAAAATGGTGCAGGTCGACCCGAGCGCCCCGAGCCCCGAGGAGCGCCGACTCCAGGGCGTGACGAAGCCAAGGTACATGGTGTGGCGTGAAACTCTGTCCAGCACGGCGACCCTCGGCTTCCGCGTCGAGGGCATGAAACTCGCGCGCGGAGGCTCGACCAAGGACTTCAAGACCACCAGGACCCGAGAGCAGGTTTGTCCCGTTACCATTATTTGTCCCTTGTGCTCATACATATATATAGATAATCGCTCCCAATCGAGGACCATACGAAAGGATGACAAATTTATTCGTTGCAACGTGTATACATCGCATAATCTTTGCTCTTTACGGGGGAAAAAAAAAAGAGTTTTAATCGCTACGCCACGCTGGGGTATACACGCGTTATCATTTCCATTATCGCTGCGCGCTCGTGTCAAACAAGTAGATATCATCGTCTGACGCACGAGAAGTTTTCTCGAGACTTTATTGGTTTCAACATTTCGAGAGGTCCAATTTTCATTGTTAACGCCGATTACTAACAGTAAGTGCCATTGTATAGTATAATGTGTATCAAAGGTGTTCCGTAGTTATGCGCGAGTCTTCAGTGCACATAAGTTATAGTTACTCGTGTAATAGACGCGATTGAAAAAGTTGAGAATTTACTAACTTACAATAAAAGTATTTTACCGAGAATAAAAATTTCGTAGTTCTAAAGAAACGTTATCCATTACCTGGTGCCAATGAAAAATATATGTATGTTTCATCGGAGTAAATGTTGTCAAATGTTTACTTATAGATCAATTAAACAAGGCATGTGTTCAAACAAGTTTGTCTTTTCGTTTATACATACATTGGGTGTTCAACTTGACTAAATGATCCTTGAAGTTAATTACGTGAATAAAGTTTTCTGATGAGACATTTTATCGAAAAAATCGTTGATATTAAGACGTTTTAGGCAATTCTCCTGGTACTCAACTTCATTGAAAAATATTATGATATTGACATTACACTTCGATCTGCAAGTAACACGCGCATCAAATTTTCTAAATTTTCTGGTTGTTTACCTTTTTTGCAGCAAAGCAAAGTAAATTTTTAATTCATGCACTTTCTTACCAAGAGCAGAAAAAGTTTTAGTTAATTACTGTAACACGAAGTTGGTGAAAAAGTGATTAAGCCCTGAAAACATGAATATCGATCCCCTAAATGAAGATATATTATGAGAAAACTTTGAAAAATACATCGTCGATCTCTGCTTTGATTCTTACGTTAACTTTTTTTTATTATTCAAATAGTAATTTAATAGAGGCAGTTCGTACGATTTAATGCCTTGTAATCAAATATTAATTTAATTTGCCTTTTAACATAAAGTTTAATGATAAATTCAAACACTTTTTCGACTTTCTCCAAAGAAATATTCCAATATGTAGGTATCAAAGCTATTTGGAAGAAATTACAAGTAATTTAAAAAATATCCAAAGATTGTTTTTATTCTTAGATTTCGTGCATCGCCCATTTCAAATATCAACAACGATTTCGTAAGATTTTTTGTCTTTGTTTGAGGTTATATGTCCACGTGTGGATGTGTATGGGGCGTAGATGGCGCACTACACTAACCAAATCATCAGTTCCCCAGAGTCAAATATGGGGTTTAAATCTTACAGTACCACAAACACCTAAAAAAACATTCCAAAATCGTATTGAAATTATTTTTGAGTTAATTTTTCTCCAGTAGCATTCGGTTTTGAGGTTATTTATCGATTCTTCAAGTCCAACACGTGTATCACATCCATAATATAAGCCAGAAATGTACAATTGGCGCCTAAGTTGTTGATTCCATGGTTGACTAATTACCCCCCACCTCTCCTCATTAGAATGCGCTCCAGCCGGGCACCCTTGGCCCGTGAATTCCGCCATGCCTATCCGAGTCGTCAGCCTTGACAGTTGCAATGAACATTTAAGTACTTTTATACCAACGGCTCCCTGCCGAGCTATTGTATCGACTGGTGTGTCACGACACGCTTACACTATAGCCGGAGAATCTGGTAATGATGATGGTCACGAACAACCGTTTCGTTACGTAAAGGTCGGAGCGATCATATCAATCGTACCCAATAGGTATAGCTTACACACGTAGTACAAATTGTATAGCTCCGTATTCCGGTAAAATTGAGCGAATGAAAAAAAAAGCCAACCGTCTCAATTTAGGTCCGCGTCTCTCGCTTCGTTGTATACGTGGATCATTGCGCGAAAACTTTTGGATTTTTTTTTGATTCTGTACCCTACAAATTTTAAATAGGGGACGTTGCGTCGACTGCACAGATGAGTGAGTAACCCCTCTGATACATGTGTGTACGTGTGGAAATTTTTGGGCTCTGACTCGATCGCTATTGTCTGCATAAAATCCATCATGTCAATTCGAATGCAGTTTCTAAGAATCCTTTAAAAAAAAACGTTACGGTAACAAGGATCGCACATTTCACTGAGACAAATTCCGTATCTATATTCGTCGCGACGATACTGCTGATTTTCTTGTTTACTCTAGAATAAATGCGAAACGATCCAATTTACCAAAGCATTTATCACGTGTAATTCTTACGTACTATCAAAATTTATGGATACCTAAAAACATTGTTTGACTTCTTTTGAGTATGGATACCATTTGATATTATTAGGGTGTCCGTTTTTTCCAAATTTTAGTTTTATTCGTAATATACTTGGTGAAATCTCTGTTTTGTAGTCTCAAATTAAAAATTCTAATCGTAAAATCTGAGTAAAAATTAAATTGACATGTGCTGATAGATATATTTCGATCTTTCGTCCAAAAAGTATATGGGTTTTTTTAACAATTAAAAAAAAAGAACTTTTTTATCTGTTCTAATAACTTTTAATCCACTTAAAATCTCTTTAAGTGTTGAATCGCATTAAGAAGAGTCAAAACTATCCAGACTGAATTTCTTTCATCCAAATAAAATATTTGGAAATGATTCTACTGTGAAAAAAAAAACAAGAATTACAAAAAAAATTTGCAACTATCTTTAAGAATGTTTTTGGACTAAAAGTAACTATAAAGTCGACATTTTTAACGTTATTAAATAAATTCTTGAAAATTGATAGAAAAAAAATTAATTCTAAAAAATGCCAAAAATCATTTTTATTCGAACAATCGTCGCATAATTTTATCAAATAATTTTGTTCAACTAGAAATTTTGTTAGAAGCTACAACAGGTATACCGTTAAAATTAGAACTCTCAAATTGGATGTAATACAAGGGGTTATAATATTACAAGTATACGCATTGGCATGCTTTTTCCATCCAACGCCAGCGCAATAAAAGTATACGTAGATTCTTTTCATCGTTATCTCAAATCGAGTAACTGAAAAAAAAAAAGAAGAAAAAAATAACAGTTAAAATACAGTTCTACCGTAAATCCGTTGAATGAATAGCTCCAAATGACCGAGACACGTAATAATTATAACACAAGTCGATGTAGTTTTTGGAAAATGGCCCCTACCTCGCACTTGTTGAAAATGAACACCAAGAAAATGGCTAAACGTAAAAACTGTGTCCAACAGGTGACGGAAGCCCTGCGCCGGTTCGTGGAAGGCTACCCGCACGCCGTGGCCAAGTACCTGCAACGGCTGAAGGCGATCCGCGCGACCCTGAAGGCGTCCCCGTTCTTCGCTAGCCACGAGGTCGTCGGCTCGTCCCTCTTGTTCGTCCACGACGCCAAGAACGCCGGCGTCTGGATGATCGACTTTGCCAAGACCCTGCCGCTACCGCCCCACTTGGGCCGCATCAGGCACGACGCCGAGTGGCAGGTCGGCAACCACGAGGACGGATACCTCATAGGCGTCAACAACCTCATCGGCATCCTCGAGGATATCAAAGACACCGACCCCGTCTACCAGTGCCACAACGTCTCGTGAACTTTGTACCATCATTTTCTCTCCTTATTTTTTTTTTTTTTTTTTTTTTTTTTTTTTTTATTCATCAAATTGCGTGTAGGGCTTTTCAATTGTACGTGTATGAACGCACATCACCTTGTAAGTGCAAGCGAGAGTCCAAAGACGCGTGTGTAGTAATTAACGATATGTATTTTTTAGTCTCATTTCTTTATAAATATATGAGAGCCGACTCGGGCCAAACGATACGCACTTCCATGTACCGATTCGTCCGATCGTTTGTCACAATCTTGGGCGTATAAATATGTGTATTGGACGCCGAGCAACTTTTATTGTGTATTATCCGCTGTAAAATATATTACATAGTATTCAAATTGCATTTTCGCCGAGAAGGAAAAACAAAAAAAATAAAAAAGCATTTTCTTTTCAACACGTATATACATGTATGTACACTAAACATTATACCAAAGACGAGACAGCTGCGTTGTACGATCGAGCGTTACTATATACATACGTACCCTTACCGATTTGTGAATAGCTGCGGCATATACGTGCGAAGATGAGTTGATTCTTCATAAAATACCGAGACAAATGCGGATAAGAATGCATTTTACAATTTTTTTTTTTTGTTTTTTTTGTTTTCCGTTGGCAATCGTTAACGGGGAGTGGGCGGGAGGGGGTACCGTCGAGCTGATAACGGTTGTGGTGCGTGGAAGCGACCAAAAGGGGAGAATGTGTGAAAAATCGTCATGGACTAGAGGCCCACCAAAAGTTGCCACAATTTTAAATTAATTTTTCGTTTTTCCTCATTGCTATACATATTTATACGTGCAATTATAAATAAATACGTGTTTTCTCTAACTTTGCCAGGTGCTTTCAATCATGAAAAATTATTCTACTGCTGCACACAGTTATCCACATACTTTCGAGTTGCGAAAGCTTCATTTTTCACTCAAAACTCTCTTAAGTGTACGTAATATGATGAATTAAAAGTACCGATACTCAAGCTTTTCAATGGCCCTTGAAAATTTCGAAAAATTCAACTCGGTCTTGTACGCGTGAAAGGGTGGTTTAGGCCAGAGTCGGTCAAACATGTGTTTGTGATGACGATCGCATCGATTGCGTTTGTAAAACCCGACGTGTCGCCCCTGCGACGAAGCGATTCGAGAAAATACATACAATGCTACCCGGGGGCATGTGTACCTACTATATAAATTCGCATCGCATCATATTAAATTCGCAGAAGCTTGCCTTTCATTGTCTGCCGTGCCACATGATATTCGTTGCGCCACTGAAGAATAGAGAGAGAGAGTTGAATGTATCTGACTCTGCATTGCCGATGTGTCGCTATATAGGGACTATGCATATTATATATGCTATAAAACATAAATGGATGTTGTTGACTATGAGGAATCAACTTTTCCTATAAGTAAGTAGTTACTCTTCATGGCAAGGTAGTGAGAGGCTTTTTGGCAACGCAACGATCGGGTGACTCGTTCTTTGAGGGAGGGATTTTCATGAAAATTGTTGAGCTTCAGATCGTTGTAGATCTATTTCTTGCCCCGCTATATCGTTTTTTCTTCGTTTACAACGCCGTAGTACAAGCCAAGTATGAGCTTCCAGTTGATATCTGGTCTCTGGTCACTGTCCCAAGAAGTTTCACTGAAATCGTTAACGCAGTATTCCACTGGATTTCAGTGAAACTTCATTGGTGTCAATTTTCAGGGTACGCGACTCTTTCGGAGTTTTTAACAAAAAATTACCTAAATAATATTGCAACCAATGAACGGTGACGACTATGGCTGTTACTGCAGCACCTCACTACCTTTGCCACGGCGAATATAAGTGTATTTTTTTAAAATTTAGTTTAGCCAAAGGATGTACATAGTTATACGTAGGGCTAGTGTGTAAAAAATCATGAATAATGTTTAAAAAGATAGCAAAGTATGGTTTACCAAAAATAAAATTTTAAAGATTGAAAATATTGCCGGAGAGAAATTTGAAAAAAATACGACAAAGGTGCAGTCGGTTTTTTTTTATAGTCGCACATGCATCTTGGAAACCTCGACAATTTCCGTTATTTTGATAAAAACGCTCGACTAAATGGTTCAAATGTTTTTATTGAGGTGCAATGATAATTTTGTAAGGAAAAAAAAAGATCTACAGAGGAGTTGTTTAAACAATTCCGCGAGACTTGATTATTTCTTGCGTAACAAGTTGAATAAATTAATGAAAAATCCTATTAATTGTAATTCTTATTTTTCTATTGTTATTATTATATGATTCTATACAATGACAAATTTTTTTGCTTGGTAAACTATCTAGAAAATAATTTAAAATGTTATGTACATACTTCTTACTGAATGAAAAAAAAAAATTGATGTTTAATAAAATAAAAGTATAAAAATTAATTCACAGATATAAGACCTGCGTCACATCGTTTTTTATTCACTTTTTTTTACAACTCCGCATATAGTTCATCCTTGGAGTTGTTATCCACAACAATGTATTTAGAAAATCTTTTCATCACCAGCCACAATTTATTTATTTTTTTTACCTCCGACCGCTCTCACGGAACGAACAAGAAAACTTACAATATTTATACACAGAAAATTGCTTTGATTCCTTCAAAATACTTTATACAATAATCGAGGTTTCTACGAAACACTGCTACAAGCACAATTCTAATTGGTACTATCAATTGTATATCTATTTTATTCGTACATTTAAACGCATTAACACTCTTGGCAGGTGATTCCCTCGCTAAATCGTATTACCGACAAGTCACATTCATGTGTGGGATGCGTCTGTTCACGATCACCAAATTCGTAGAAATCACACGTATGCCGACACTGACAGTGACTTTGTTAAATGAATTCAATTAAAAAAAACAGTTTGTCGGCATGTATTTAAAGCACTAACACTTTTATGTACAAATTAGGAAAATCCCGTTTTTGGTTCTGACAAAGTTTCACGTTTACAAAGAACTTGGAGGAGGCTGCTTTCTTTTTCTTTTAAATTAAAAAAAAAAAAAAAAAAAAAAAACATATCAAATCAACATATAACTTCCCCCAAATATATTGAAACAAAAAAACNTTAAAATTAACCCTAACGAAAATTTTTACAAATAGAATTTGAAAAGTTTCAATAAAAATGTACACCTTTTGAAGAATTTCTAATTACTGACCTTATTTTTACACTTTATCTTACGAATCGTACAACTAGTACCAAACAGCGCGTCTGTTGTTCCCTATAATAATACCGCAAGCGCACAAAGGCTCCGCCGCGAAAGAAGCACGAAAAAACAGTCACCGAGGCATAATCACTGGCTCCCACCAAAGGGACCATTGTTCTGCACCTGCTGTTGCTGCTGACCAGCTTGTTGCTGTTGTTGTTGTTGTTGTTGTTGTTGTTGTTGTTGTTGTTGTTGTTGTTGTTGTTGTTGTTGTTGTTGTTGTTGTTGCGACTGCTGTTGAGTAACAACGTTGGCCTGGCCGGTCTGATTGATCGACGTGGGCGCGATGACCCGCGCGTAAACTGCAGCTCCGGTCTTGAGTCCTGCCGGCGTGGGTATGACCTTGAGCCCGTGCAGGGTCTTTATGTTCAAGAGCTGGCTGTTCAGGATGATCGGCTGCTGGCCGGCTTGGCCCGAGGAGCCGGCGGCCTGTTTACCAAGAACGACGTTGCCCGCCGTGGCGACGTTCAGACCGACGGTCTTGCCCCCGCTGCTCGTCAAGACGATCGGCTTGCCTGCCAGCTGCGCCGTGACCATCCGCACTGTCTGCTGCTGTCCAGCCGAGGTCACGGACGTCGCAGTCTGTTGGCTCTGCGTGCTCACTATGATTTTGTTGGGCTGACCAGCCGCCGCCTGGGCTTGGGTCACCATCTGGAAGAAACAACATTCTTTTGTTAAAAACACGTGCACAATACAATCTTGCTTATGATTCGTTTAGCAGACGTAATGGTTTTGAATGACTTTTAAAATCATTTTTGGGATGACTTTTGGAAAAAATGCACATTCTCGTTCAAGATCTACGTTGTCGAAACATTTTGTCGTAGACTATCGATCTGTTCAACGATTCAGATCATTTTTGTCATTCAACCCACCACATCCGTAGAAAACTCGGACCGCACTCTTGGGCTTAAAATTTTATTCCCAGGCTCAACTATTGTGTTTTTCTAAAAGGTGGATGTAAAAATTGAAGAAACTCGCCTGAAACTGCGTTTGAATGAGCTTGTTACCCTGCCTGGCGAGCTGATTCGCATGAGCAGCGGTCGTGGCAAGCTTCAATCCCTTTTGATTCAACAAACTCTCGACCGAGATGTACTGGCTCCCGGAGCTCGTCAACACCTTGGCCAGGACCTTCGACTGCTGCTGTTGCTGCTGTTGCTGGAACGGCTGTTGGATCACGGCAATCTGCTTGCCACCTATCTGAGCAATGATCCTCCCGTGCATGCCCGTGTTCTGCTGTTGTTGCTGCCCTGCCTGCTGGGTTGACGCTGCGGTGACGACGCGCTGCTGGACCTGCGATTGGACCTGCTGGCTTTGCTGAGTTTGAGCTTGCGACGCCGAGGTCGAGGGCTGGCTTTGCTTTATCAAGATCGTCTGACCGGGCGCCAGCAGGGATTTTATTTGATTCTGGCTCACTGCTGTTAATCGTGGGAAAAATTAAACGGTCAACACAATGTCATTTGCATGATGACGCCAAGAGAGTACGAACGAATACCTAGTTTGATCTGGGAAGCCAATAATTTTGTGGGCATCACGTGCTGTTGCTGCTGTTGCTTGAGATTCGAGGTCTGCAGGATACTTTTGCCCGGCTGCGTCGCCAGCACCGTCTGCTGTTGCTGCTGAGCCTGAGTCTGGATGATCTTAGCCGAGGTCGGAAACAGCGTCTGCACGTTCGTGCTGGACACAGCGTTCGATTGGGAGGACTGCAGCACAGAGTGGCCAGACAGTCGGATCGTCTGGACTCCGGCCGAGGTGGACACTTGGATCTGCTGCTGAGCAAAGTGCGGTTGATTCGACTGCAGGAGACTCTGCGTCCCGGACGCCTTGACCACGGCCACTGGCTTGACGCTGCTGATCTTTTTCGCCGAGCTTGGACTGGAATGGCCTGGAAGAATACTCGGCATTGCACACACTGACCGTGCGAAAGTGGGAATTAGACAACAAAAAAAACAACACATGTGAATCCGTACCTCTGGCGGTGTTGAGGGTCACCTGGGGCTTTGTTTCGACAACGGCAGACATATCTTTTTCCGGCGCTGTCGCGACGCCGTGCGCCACAACAGGCGCCACCATATGTGGCACCGAGGCCGTCGTATTGGCCGCTGCCACGTTGAGAATCGTCTGGGCACTGGCACTGCTGGAAGAGACCTGAGCCGACGTCATTGGCACCGTCGTGGCAACATTGACCAGAGCGGGCGTAGCGCTACCGCTCGGCACGGTTATCGTGATCGGTACCGTTGTCATCGAAGCCACCGACGTAACCGCTACAAACGCCGAGTGCGACAACTGGGCCAAAGAGGACAAGGATTGCTGCTGCAGCTGTTGTTTTTGTAGTTGTTGCTGCTGTTGCGTTTGTGGTTGCACGACAATCAACTGCTGATCCGCGGAGATGGATTGGTCGACGACGGCATTGGCCAATTTCTCCTCTTGCCTCTTGGCAGCTGCTTCTTTCCTGCAATGGTCGGAGCGAAAGAGAAAATTTACCTTGCCTGCAACGAGAGCAAAATAAATGGTTCATACCTTGCAATGTTCGACTGCGCAGAGCTCTTCTTTTCCTTTTTAGCAGCTGGTTCTTTGACGATGGTAGAGCCCAAATCTTTCGCTTTGTTGGCAGCCTGTGCTTTACTCCTCGACGATCCGCCTGAACTCTTTTTGTTTTTGGGTACGCCTTGCAGTTGTTGATGGTACATTTCTTCGGAAAAAGTTGTTGGTTCGTTAAAATTTGTCACGATAAAATTGCCAATGCGATAAACTCACCAAATTCCGATTCCGACCGAGCTCTGTGCAAGTAGAGCCATTCTTTCCTCTTAGGATAGTACCTGACACAAGGATCGTGCTCGTAGTGCAAGCGATCCAGAGCACCCGACACGACATTGTTCAAATTGGCCTCTTTGTCGTTGGTGAAAATATCTTCCTGGATGTACTGCGAATCCTTGAGTAGCTGGCAAATGTCGGCGCGCGTGCCCTCGCCGTTGGGTAGGCGAGCAGTTGCGTCGCGCACCAACGCCAGGATCGTCACAAAGTTCGGTCTGTCCGGCACCAGAAGAGTATGGCCACGAGCTTTCGTCACACCCGAGCTCGCGTTATGCTGGTAGATGCCCTTCACGGGACCGACAACGGACGAGTATCCGTGCATGTGGTAGGTAAACGCTTTGTGCGGAGCTGCGTACCGCAAGCGTTCCTGCCTGCGGAACTCCTCGCGCTCCTCAGCTGTCGAGGGTCGCACCTTCCAGATGGTTGCGCAGAGAGCTTTTGGTGGCTCCCACTCGGGCGAACTGGACGGCAAACCATCCAGCGGTAAAATACCGTCCGTCGAAGCTGATGCATCTGTCGTGTCCACACTGTTTGAGCTCAACAAGGTCACTTGCTGCTGCAGCATTTGTTTGGTTGTCGACGACGGCAGTGCGAGGGATTTTGGTGGCACTAGCAAATCTCTGTAAAAAAAAATTATTTTTTTTTTTTTTTTTTTTTTTTTTTTTCAATGTTTTGGTAAGTAAAAATGTCGTACGATGACACGCGGACGCGTACTCACTTGTAGAGTAAAAACTTGGTACACAGTATCGACAGACGAGAGTCAGAATCTCTGCCGGCGCCTATCCAAGCGTAGACACCCTTGCCCTTGTTTTCGAGGTAAGGCACAAGTTCTTGACCACCATCCAGAAGTGGATCCTGCGGATAAATCAATTCCCCGGCGAGAAAGCCCAAGGCTAGCGGCACCAAAGTCATCCAAGAAGGAACCAAAGAGTACCAGTCGTTCAGCGGAGAAATCGGGTTGTCCTGCCAGATCACGACGGCGTCCTTCATTTCGGAACGATTCATGCGGTACTCCCCCTTCGACAGGAAGACATCTCTTATGAGCGAGAAGAAGCACGAATGTGTTTCCTGCATGAGCTCGTCCCCGTTGATCACCATGTCTTCGACCAACGAGTCAGACAAATCATTGTCCGGTATGGTAATGACGTTGCCATCCTCGCACTTGACATCTGCAAGGATGTCTATACCGTCCTCCAGCTGGATCGGCAGCTGCATCATGTCGATACTGTCCAAATCTATTTCGTCCTTTTTGTCGAGATCATCGTCCTCTTCCGTGGAAATCGGCACAGCAAGGGGTATCTCTTCGCTGACGATGATACCGTGACCGACCTTCACCTCGACCGGCTCAAAGTCCATGTCCTCGATTTCTTCCTTGATGTCCGGAAGCGGAGAAATCATTTCGTCGGGCAACGGCTCGGGCTCCTCATCCATTATCGTCGAGGGCAGCTGAGCCGGTGGCGGCTCGATATCGTACTTGTTATCCTCTGCAGTCTCGATCGACTCCAAATGCTCGATATTTTCAATGGCGTCTATGTGATCGATAAAATCTTCGGGCTCGTCCTTAATATCCTCCTCATCGGCGAGCAGGTACTCGGGAGGCTTATTGTCCGGTTGCTCCAAGTGCCTGAGATCATCGCTACTGTGAATCGAGTAATCACCGCTCGTGTAGCTGTTTGTGTCGCTCTCCATTTTAATCGGCGTTGTACTCATCTTCATCGGCATTATGAGCTGTTGCTGCGGCTGTACCTGCAACAGCGGCTGCGCTTGCACCTGCTGCTGTTGCTGCGGCTGTGGCTCTTGCAACAGCAATTGCGGTTGAGACTCTTGTTTCAGCAATTGCATCTGCTGTGGCTGCTGTTGCTGTTGCGACTGCGATTGGAGCTGCGGAATTTGCGGTAGCGGATGCGACGGCAGCTGCGGCTGCTCTAACTTTATTCGCTTCTTGGACGACGACACGCGAGGCAAGAACGAAATCTTGTGCTTCTGACCAAGCTGCGCTCGTTGCATCAGATCCGAAAGAGCTATGCCATGTGTATTCAGCTCGGGATGTGCCTGTGGAACAAAGTAATAACATTTTGTCCTTAAATTGAAAAAGCAACGACTTTCGTTCAAGCGATAATTACATCTTTCCGGGCTCTCCTTTTCTTGTGAACCATCAGCATGGCCTTGTACGAATCTTCGCTCAGGTCTGGCCTTGACGTTACAAAACTCATGCCTACCCCCACACCACTGGATTCGGTGCCATTCCTCTGCAGGGTCGAGTACACGGGCCTAATGGCTTCATCGCCGGGGCAACTGTACAGGAAAATGATGAAAAACAAAAAAATCTTAAATTGACCAACCCAAGAAAATTAACCGGCAAGTCAAGATATGAGAAAAAAAAAAAAAAGTTACGTCAAATGCATGGCTCTCGTTGGTAGCATCTGTTGCTGTTGGGCTACTAGCGCTGCGCGCTTTTTCCTACGCTGTTGTTGCTGAAGCAGTTGCAGCTGCTGTTGTAGCTTGCCACCAGTGCTGGCCTGGGCGGGCGTCATAAGATTGCTGCTACTACCGTCATCGTCGTCGTCCGATATGTCAGACTCGGACTCTGAGTACTGAGAGCTCGCGCCCAGCGCGGCGTTTATCGCGTTCATCTCTTCAGCGTATCGCAGCTGCGTCCGTTCTTCCACTACAAAAGCACGTATCAATGAATAATTAAGGTTTCATCATTCGAAGGTTGTGAATGAGGTACTTACGTATGTCGGGCTTTGGTTTTTTGAGAGGTAGCTTTGATTTCGTCGACTGTCGATGCGATGTTTGACTGAAGCCTTGCTTGTAGGCATTTGTGAGCAAAATTTCCCGTGATTTTAAGAGCTCTTCTGTAAACTCATAGGCATGCTTACGTTCTTCGAACAAAAGTTTCTTTATTTGAGCTTTTTTAACTAAAGTACGCATCCTTTTTATGTCTGGCCTGAAGTGACCAGCTGACAAATGCTTATGAAAATCATCAAGGGGCTTAACACCAAACCTAAATACATTGATTGAACAACGTTTCAAGTACAAGAAAAATCAAAATAACTTAAAAACTTCGGATTTAGTGTTAAATCATCAAAATTTACCTATCAAGCTCTCCGCTGAAAAGCATGTTGAGAGTACGGTCTAGTTCTAGTTCAATATTGCAGTCTTTTGGAAAGTTTGGCAAGAAACTGTACAGTGATTCCTTTTGACTTTCAGTCAAACACTCATCCCAAAACTTTGGATAGTCGAGCATTTCCTTGAATATTGACTCATGTTCACACAAGTCCTGAGGCAGTTTTAACTTAGTACCAGCAGCTATGCAGGTTTCCCACCTCTAAAAAAATAAAATGTTATACATTTATCTGGTTACGAAATTTTATATTATCAAAACTCACCTCTTCTGGATGCTCAACTGTTTCGTTTTCTTCCTCATCCTCTTCCACTGAACTGTCAGTCTCGGCTGAAGAACTAGTGGCTTGGTCATCTGCGCTTTCTTCCCCACTGTCACTTGCAGTACTGCTACCACTACTGTTGTTGCTACTTTCAGTTGCTGAACCCGGTAATAGTTCCTCATCTTCATCTTCTTCTGCCCCAGAGTCACCATTGACAGAACACTCGTCGATCTAAAGAGTTAAATAATAAATATTCTATCCAGAAAACAAGCTGTGCAGTAGTCAATTATACAGGATACACTATTTTTGGTAACGGTACTGTACAAGCTTATTAATGTTTTTCAAATAAGATATCTCGTACTTTATAAGAGCTAAGTTATAAAAAGTCTGCAGTTTGCAGGTAGTGTGAGCATCGTTCCTTAAAAGTTGAGCAAAAATGTATTACTTTTAATTAGAACTTGAATGAGTACTCGATGGAACGCGATATTGTTCCAGGCAATGGTGATAATAAATTTTAAAATAAAAACTACTTAATAGAGGTATTTCATTGATTCGTATATACAAACACCTGCCAAAGGTCGAGTACTTTATCACTACTACCTGATGAATATTTTATTTTAGAAACTTCATCAGGAAAATGAATATGACGTCTAAAAAGTATAGTCACACTTGGTAGACCTAATGATTTATTAATAATACTTCAACGGATCAAAATAATAATTGGAACACACTTTAAACAGTCGAGCAAAAGAGCAAAACAGTGTAGAATTTTAAGGTTATCCAAACAAAATCTAATACAGCACCTCCGAAACTTCCATTTTGTACCAAAAAATTAATTTTCTGACTTTACATTTTTTTAAATCGTCTTTTCCATCTTCAATTCCAAATAATAATGTATTATTAAAAATCAAAACAAACGATTATAAACACAAACACTATCCTAACCTCCATGGTTTGAGTGATGTGTATATATGTATATATACGTGCGTGTCAGCTGTGCCTTCTGCTGGACAAAAAAAAATACACAATCGTCTGCAACCGTGTTTTATAATTCGGCCATATAATTTTGCGAAGTAACAAAATGATCACTCGATTTTCCAAGAGCCAATAAACTCGCGAATGTAAACACTGTATGGATCGAACTTAAAAAATCAGGTGATTCCGACAATTAAATTTGGCGAGTACATGTGTACATTCGGAGCACCGGTACTGACTCGACAGCACCAAACGCTGCCCTACATGTTTCACTTTCACACCCATGGGTACAAGTAATTCTTACGAGTACTTCATCTAATTACTTTAAAAACAAAACAAAACAAGTACTCTCGCAGAATATATAGTCCGAATTCTGAGCACAAAACACGCGCTTGAGTGTATATATATGTATAAGACTGATGCATGTTTTTTTTCTATCTCTTTTTTTATAGTTACCAGCTTCGCACACCGCGAACACAGCGCGCCACTGTCGAAACTCTTGGTTATATATCGACAACCGACAACGGATGGAGAGATGGTATAACTGAATCTCCGGCCGCGTGGCGGCATGATTCGCTCCCGCACGTGGCGAAAAAAGTGTTTGGTTAGTATATATAGACCAAATTTTCAGCAGTAGTTCAGAGATGTGTGCTCACTGGCTCATGACGTAAGTCTACAGTCACCCACGTAGTAGTGGTGGGACTCGGTTTGAATAGTTTGCTACGTGTAGTAGCTCACCGATTCCGTACCTACAGGTAAGTGAGGTAAGTGAGGTAAGTAGGACGTGGTGAATGACTTGCTGGTGCGCACATATTTTTTTGTCTTAATATTTAAATTACCAGTGTCCTGCTTTATTATTAGCTTTTTTACAAACCAAACCCTTCTCTTTTTTTTTTTTATTTCAACTTTAAAAGGTAAAAATTCTGAAAAACATACGTCAGCTGCTTTAACTTAACATCATTTTCCATCATTAATCAACTCGTATATTGCATTCTGTCCATTTATTATAAAATCATTTTTTTTACTTTCATATATTTGCTCTTTATTTTTTTTTCTCTTGAAAAATTCTTTTGCGTCCGACATTCTCATATTCTTTTTTTGTATGTGTACTAAAAAAATAGCTACTAAATATATAATCGTAATTATTTAATATGCCTTTAATTTTGA